TTTCTCTTGCCATCTCAACGACCAGCTGAGGAGGGATAAGGCGGTGGACCGCTCTGGGGTTCGCCTGTCCCCGGGGGAGGAAAGCCAGAATGCAAACCATTATCGCTTTGATTAACCATGTCCGCTTCAATTGTTTGACTTATTTTTACTCAGCGAAATTAAAAAAAACAACAACAACACGAAGAAGTTGAAGGAAGTGAAAAGAAGGCGAGATGACGTTAAAAAGTTTAACAACTAAGCCATTTTGATCCGGTCTGTCACAGATCGCAAAAATGATCACCTCACGTTTTGTAATTTTAATGTTTTTTTTAAAATAAAACAAGTAAAAATACGAAAAGGCAAATGTACGTGTGCGTGTGTGTGAAGTGGAACCTCTAGAAAGAGCCGCGGATTTGCTTAGTGGTGCTCCTCATCTCTTTCAACAAACGGATTTGTTAACTTTTCAAGAATCTTCCGCCTTAGAACAGCGCCAGAGACAGGCTTTTGGAGGGACATGGTGGCTTGAGCCACCACTGGATCCACTTTAGAAGATCCAGTGTTACTTATGCCGTTCCTCTTTTTGTTATAAGCAGACATTTCACCCACATTATAATAAAGTCTCTTTAAAATACAAATCATTTCATTCTCCTCCATGAAGTCAAGTCCTTGATTTTATTTTCACAAAAGAAGGGAGACGCGACCTCTCTCCCATTCGAGCTCTCAAATAAGGCGGTAATTGAACGTCCAGATATTAAGGTGTCTTTCTTTCTACGCCTGAATGGGTATTGCTTTCAGTCCTTCCATCTTTTAGCATTCTGTAATACTCTTTGAAGGTAAAGCAACAGCACTACCTTCCTGAGGCAGAAATCCTCTTAAAGAATTAAGCTGACGCTTTGATCTCAAACCTACTCGCGACCCCTGAGAAGAAGAAAGGAAAGATTTAATTTTTACTAGTTTAAAGAGTGAAAGGGAGCAAAAAGTAGTAGATTCTTGCTAAGGAATTACAAAGAATTACAAAGTGAATCATTCACTAACAGTAGCCTTGCAATGGAAGTGTCTGAGTTCTAAATATTCTTTAAAAGAGATCCTTGATAAATAAGTTTTTCAATCTTCCTCCTCAATTCTCAGCTATATGAAAAAATGCATTGAAGTGATTTGAATAAAAGGACTTTTAAGACAATCTCTTCCTCCAAAAAGTGAGGAAATAATTGGGGAAATCCAAGTAAAGTCTGCATTATTGTCTATTAATTTTCCGAATTCTTTATGTCGACTTGCCTAGGAATCTATTCAAAACATTCATAATTACTACTTTAGGGGATTTGTTAAGTAAGAAGTTGTATGGAGGGGTTAAAAGTTAAATGGAACAACCGAGGTACAGGAGCCAATCAGCGTTGGAGAGGCGCAGCCAATCACAGCTCAGCCTCCGGTTCCGCCAATTAAATAATTACTAATTGCAGTTAAGATTAATAATAGGTAGTTAGTAAGTCAGTTTATACTCTGATACACTCTTCTACAAAACGGAACAAATTTGTCATTGCTTTTCCTTCCTCAATCCGGCAGTGATTATGTACAACCGTTCAGATCAATGTGGTCTATGTCCCACTTCGCCTCTTCCTTTCCTCATCCTTTTCATCTTAATGGGTACGTCCATATTCCCGTCTTTTATTCCCAAAGAGGGACAAAGCTAGTCTTCATTGTTGCCTTAAATCACTGAAAGTAAATCATACCTTGACGGTCTTAAGTACGCAGAATTTTGAGAAGAGACCTGTGCCTTTCCATGTTTTGCTTAGCAAATCTGAGATAATATCTACTCCCGTTGGCATGTTTACTCCTTTCCCTTTTTAAGGGGGAAAGGGGAGTGGGGTGGGAGGGGAAGAAGAAATCTTCTTCGTTTGACATCACAATCATGTCAGCAGTAGTTATTTTTTTAACAGTTGAGCAATTTATCCTCAGTCAACAGACTGAACATTAAAAGCTAAAGAAAGGAGGACCTAAAAGCAGTTCACCTACAACCCCCTCCTTTCACCCCTCCTCTTCCAAAAGAGGGTCAAGCCAGTCTAGTGAGAAGGACACAAGCAAACATCACTTAATTCTACCTTTCGAGTGAGTATTATGAGAGAGGTATGCAACTGACAAGTAGTATGTACATGTAAACTTTTGTCAAACATTGCAATCGACGCTGAAGTCTTGCTCAGTTTAAGTGGGTGTATGTGTGTGCCCTTCAACGGGTAGTACCTCCCAGTCAACCTGTTGTGCACTTTAAGTTTGTTCAAGAAATCATATTTACCTCTGATTAATGGAGGAGTTACGCGCAAGTTGGAAGGGGAAAAATTTATGTCTTTACCTCTTTCTATCCTCCCCTCCCCCCCAACTTGTTTGCCTGACTGTTAGACTTGGAGAGGGTGATCAACGCGTTCTCCTCCCTCCTGCGGACTATACTTTTAACTGTGGATCGAGTAGCCCTAAAATTATTCCTCCAGTCAGAAGTAAAATTAAAGAAGAAGGAAGATGAAATTTGATTTATGCCTTTATTTTGGTTAATTTTATTCACAATGGTCGTAATTGTGGGTAGTGGGAGTCAAATAATCCCATCTTAAGCCCAGTTTGAGTGGATTGTCTCAACTTTACCACCTACTTAAATTTTCCACGCAAAACCTTCCAGACAGGGATAAGTGCGCAACTTCTATGGGCTGTCGGTTGACCCTATGGTTGTGTTTTTTTTCTTCTCCCTTACTTCCACCACCACCAACACCACCACCCTCTCCCCCTCCTCCTATTACCCCCCCTTTCATCCCCTTCCTTTCTTTCTCCTCTCCGAAACGCAATATTTACCATCAAAGTACGCTAGCTCAGCAAAAGGTGAGCTGAAAATCAGGCTTACGAGATTAAATTATGCAGAATGTTAGTTTTGTGTTCTGTCAAATTTTTTGACAAATAATTGCCCAAGTCCACCATTTCGCTCATTTTAGGTGTACTGGGAGAGATGGAATTTCCACCGGCTTTTCACAAGGAGATGGAAAGTATCGACGCGGTGAATGGAACACCCGCAGTGCTTACCTGCCAACTCAATCGCAGTCTCTCACCCAGCGTGAGTTACGCATTCTCTCTCTCCTCCCCCGGCTTCTAATTCAGTCCTGCCATAATGCACATACTACTTATGTAATTTCAGCATCAAGAAAGAGTAGTACAAAAGTCACTACTTTTGTAAGAGATAGACCAAGAAATTTTAATTTTTTATATCAGTAGAGGCAAAAAAATACTATGAGTGTCTTTTTTATTACCTTGTGACAATGAATTATAGGTCTTCAGACTAAATAATATGAGTCATTGTGAAGTAATGCAAGTATGGCCACCTACGCGACAGCAAAAGGCTTATGCGTGATAAAATAGGGTTCTAGGACGCGTAAGATCTCCAAACAGGCTATTTGAGAGAAATAATCAAAAGGCAATTGTGGCATACGCATTGGTTAAGGTTTTTAAATTCCTTCTAGAGGATGTGAAATAGTGTGGTAGTCTCCCAGCGGAGTGTGGATGAAGATGGTGGGTCATTCAGACTCTCACGGTCTGATACTAAAATTTACCAACTAGATGCACAAAACTGCCTTTAGACTTCTTACACTTACATTTCTGCTGCTAGGACTGATCGGGTTAAAAATGCTGACATGATTTACCTCCTGTCCCTCTCTCCCTCTCTTGCCCTATAACGTCTTCCCTTTACAGTAGCTGCCTTGGGCGGCTGGGTGGTGCAGTAAACTGTCTCAGACAAAAATCAAACGATTTCAATCAAGAAAGAGAGAGAGAGCGAGAGCGAGAGCGAGAGGGAGTGAGTGAGTGAGTAGATCCACGTCCGGCATTGTAAAAATTGCAGCTTGTGAATTTAAATTTGCCCAAACTGAGCCATTGCAGTCCTTCTGGTGGGAAAAGAAGGCATCCTTTTTCTCCTCACCCTCCCTGCCGACCCTTCAGTCGCAAATTTGTTCCTCACCCTCTCCGTGTGCGCACGACAATGGGCTAAACTAATACACTTAAAAGGAAGAACAACTACATAAAGGCCACAGCATGCATCACCCTTTTAATTACCTGACTATAAAACAATTTTTGCTGCCGTTTTAATTGTTATTGTAGGGCAAAATGTGTGTCTTCGGTGGGGACTCGACTCCACTATTCCCCTTTTTTGCCCCCTCTTTATAAAAAGTCCAACTGCCAACACAAAACATCATCCAATTTGGGATGTTTAGAGGCGGTAGGGTTGTGCTAAACGCACGATAAAAGGGAAGTCCATCCCATCCTCGCAGGGGAAGAGAGAAGCTAGTGGTGGTGGTGGTGGTGGTGGTGGTGTCGGTGGCGGTGACCGAGTTTTCACTGCAAAGCGGCGGCTGCATTGCCTACTCCCCAGCAAATGACTCTAATGCCGTCTTTTGCTAAAATAAATAGTCCAAATTTTGTTCTCTTAAGTGTAACACCTGTGGATGAGCTTTTAAGTTTTAATTATTATTCTAAGCTAAGTTAGTTATAGTCACTTCCTGCATTTGATAGGCAAAAAAATGCTTAGCCTTTTAATTTAGTTAAAATACAGTTGCCTTGACAACCGTAAATAAATATTACTAAATTAAAACAATCTGTCAAGGTGAAACGTTTAATTGACTTGTCGTGGAGGCGCAGGTTATCCCTTCAGTCACTCATGCAGTAATGCTACCATTTGAAGTCTGCATTTTGGTGTGCCCTTTACAACTCCTTTTTGTTTGTCAAACACAAAACTTGTCTTGAAGATTGTACTGTCTTTGCAATTCTAAATAAGTAAGCAAATTTGCAGTTTGCGGGCGATGAATTAATAATTCATGCGTGGGATTGAACCACGTTTTCCCACCTGACACCCACACCCTCACACACAGTGTCCATGGAGGGTGCATACTTAACGGAATTTGTTGGACAGACGATTTATGCATGCTTTTGGGAAAGTTTATTGACAACTGTGGGGAGAGGTGGCCACACCTCCACTTCCCTCTCACATCTTCACTACCGCCTTGCGGCTTGACACCGATGATGCGGTCTGAGAAGGATAGAGCCTGCTCATCTGAGTGGCATGGATCGCCTTTGATGGCCTGAAATTATTAAAATTAACAATAAAATTACAGTTGCAACTTTGGGAAATGGACGCTCATTTGCTTAACTTAAAATGGTAAGGCGGCGGGAATTTTAGTTACTCCTTTGAGGATGTCTCACCGCCACCTTAGACTCGATAAAAGTCACCCCTGACAGTACTTACAGCATAAAATTTACCAAAATAATGATAATAAGATGGAGACATCAAGAATGTTTCCAGTGTATAAATTTGGTGGAATTAAGCTCCCGACATTGGAACCGCAAATTACCGCCTTGGATTAGTGTTTTTTTTGTCCACAGGAAGCCAGAAAGAACTCCAATTGTTGAAAAAAAACGGACACTGTGATCGTCTTATCAGTTTGAATAAACAGTGGTATGGGGAATTTATGACTTACTTGTGGCGGATCGGAGAGATAAATAATGGCAAAAAGGAAGGCGAGGGAGTTAATGACCAACAAAGACTCCCAGAACCTCATTTCATATGTAAACTTCTCTGCATTCTCCCTCTCCCTCTCTTGCTCTCCACCCAAAGGAGGAGGAAAATAAATAATAAAAGGCTATCCTCTGACTCCCTTGCAAGTTTCATAGCTCTTCAGCTTGTGAAATACCACATTAATATTTTATTTACCTCACAAACTCAACAATTAGTCATTGTTGAAGGTGGCTGTCGTCCTAACTGCCTCCGCCATTGCTACGGTAGTTGGCTTTCGAAAAACAATTCCTCTAGACAGGATTACTTAAAATCCACCCTCAAGGTGACTGTCTGACAGTTTCTAAAAGTATGCCGATTACCCCTATTGCCAATTGGCTGTTAGTTTTTGTCTGCTCACCCACCGTTTGTCTCCCACCGCCTCCACCTCACCTCACCACCCGCCTGTCAAAAGTACATGTGTCAGTACTGATGACTCTGTTATTGATAAATTAGAAAGTAGTTTTTTTGTGCTGAGTGTACTGGGGCTTTTTGCGTGACACAAAAAAATCATTTGCTTATTTAATAAGTAGACAGAAACTGCCTGCAGTACTCATATCCACATACACACTTAAAATCTCCCCTTAATATTGCATAGCTATTTGTAATAATGAAATGGCAGTTTTTACCACTTAAGTCTCTTAAAAGCATCTAATTGACAGACAAAACGAAAATCGGCAACTTCCCTTCCCATTAAAACGCTAAAAGTAGGCATTTGTATACTCATATTAGCATACTACTAATTATACAAGAGATTGCTTTTCAGTAGTATTGTACATGTTCTATTAATCGAGACGAAAATTGTTCTTCAAATAACTACATTAAATCCTTTTTATGCGCACAGCAAAATCGAATGATTATGATCATGATAACACCAATTTTATTATTGTTTAAGGAGATTGTCAAGGTGTCGTGGTTGAAAATGCCACGACAGCTATTGGCACGGGGACGAATGAAAATAACCACAAATGAACGCATCAGCATAGTGCCCCAGGCCTCCGAGAATGTCTTTCAATTACGATTTGATCCAGTGGTGAAAGAGGATGGGGGTGAATACCGATGTGTATATAACCATAAAACAGGCGTCAAATATAAGGTCGTCGTCGTTAACATTCAAGGTGCGTTAATTTCCTACCCTTCCTTATCGACATCTCTTGTCATTCCTTGCATTGCTGAAACATCATTTTGGATAAATTATTAACTGTCTACAGGTTTGTATCCTACTTTATATGTCTATGGTACAAGGCAGCGCCATAATCAGGCTCTTTGTAGCCAGGGATAAAATGATACATTGAGAACGCTTAAGCCTGTCTCGTGGGGAAATTAAATTTCTTTGTTACATGCAATGAAACAACACTTACACAAGTTTTTGTCTGGTAAAAAATGACCAAATTGATGTAACCGTACTCTTATTAAATTAAACTGATGCTTGACAGTCAACCAATAGCCTTAAACAGTCAGTTTGAAGGGCTGTGTTGACGAGATCCCACCTCGATGTGGTTCCTCCTTCAGTTCCACCCAAAGTGGACATTGATCCGCGAGGTGAAGTGGAATTGCTGGAGGGTGAGTATGCCTTTGTTGTTTGTAATGCCTCCGGCACCCCCTATCCCCAATTTCGGTGGTGGATGTTGCCTCTCGCCACGTACCAGAAGCATTGTGCTCAACAGGCGCCAGGACTGTATGGTGAAACAGAGGTGACTGTCACCTTTGCCAGTCAGACGTCGCACCCCTTTAGCCCATTCGCTCTACAACCCTCGACTATTGCCACCTCCTCGCATCTCACTCTGGTGCCAGTACATGAGATCGCCTCCAAGTACAAACAGAGTAAGCACTTTTTCCCTTCCTCCTCTCCATCTCCTTTACGTCATTATTTTTTTTTCTGAGTGAGAAGTAAAACATTCTCTTTCCATCACACTCTGTACTTCTACCTTCTCCTGCCTGGTCAAGCCATTTAAAAGTAATTAATTTAGCCAAATTAAATGTTATTGCCATCCTCTTCTGCAATTTTTTTGCCAAAATATGCCTTTTTGGCAAATCCAGTGAGGCAGACTGCCTCCAACTGCCTCATAAGTGAGGTTTTGGTCTACCGGTCGATGGGTAACGGTGTGGAGGGGAATGAGGCTTCTGTCTGCCTAAAGTTTCCCCACATAGGTGGATCGTCAGTGCTTAAAGTTTCACCAACTTGCTTTGGGCAATAGAAGGTACGCAATTCTTGCAAAATCCAGGTCATGGTCATGAGGTCAAATCTCCAGCCGATTGGTTTAACTCAAAGTCTAAGGGGATAATAATTGACCTCCTTTAAACTTCCCCCTCTTAGCACAGCCTTACTTTTTTCCTTCTCATTGACTGTCAAAATGTTGCCGGCACTGCAAGGTGGGTCACTCACGGCCCAATCGCGCCAGTCATCGACTTTGTATGCAACTGAGAAGACAATCAAAGGCAACGACTATCACTTCACATGACAATTTTGCTTTGTTATAACTGGTGGCTGTAGACAACCTCATGCTTACACTCCACCAATGACCCATCAGTCATGGCAACTGGGGTAGCATAAAAGTGAAGAAGGCATCACAGACAGGTGGGTGTTATTTTCACTCCCCCAGCTTAAAGTGCTCTCCGTTTCCTCACCCACAGTCAAAATTGGGTTTACTTTTAAAGCTCAAGTGATAGCGTTTCTGTTCGCATTTTCACAGCACAATCACCTTGCCGTCTTATGTGGTGGGCTGTTAGCAAGCAAAAGTCCCACACAGAGGGATGGAAATGGTGCATTCCTCTCTGTCCACCTGCGGGAACGTGTAAATCGCTTCATCGTTGCAATCAACGGGATTTTTGATACCATCAAACCATTTATTGCAGTTAGACGCACTCAACCTTGTGCCTATATCTTTACCTCCTTATCATGCCAAACTATCTGTCCATTTTTAATGCGTAATTCCCTTAAATTACTTTGTTTTTCCACATGTTAACCATACTACTTAAATGTCTACTCATAAACCAAAAAATCGATTTCTGACTTTTTTGCCTAGATTTTGGTTTTTTCGATACCTGTTATTTTATTTTATCAGTTTAGACATCACCTGAAGTAGAAAGGATTAAAGTTGTTCTACCTTTGAGGCACAGTGGACTTATTTACTTGCCTGTATGTGTGATAAGATGATGAGGTGGAATCACTCACTCGCCCACTGGCGTAGTTGAGTAACAAAAAGTGCCCATTTCCCTGTCCTCTCCCTTTTAGCTTTACAGGCATTACTAAATGCATGAGTTATTCCCACTTTTTGTCTGTTTTGCTAACCAATGCAAGAGACCAGGCTGTTGACTTTTTACGGCCACTTTGGAGAACTTTGTTTCACCGTTAAAGGCGACTTTACCAGCGCCCAGACAGTTGTGTTTGTTTAAATCGCCTCAAAATACCATGTTTTGGGAGGCTTGACCCTTCCGACTGGATTGGTTGTAATCCTGCGTAATGAATGGTTACAAGACTGAAGAGAAGGAGGAATGGGGCGGAGGTATCAACCCTCTTGCATCTTCGAACACATAATTAAGCATAAAGCAGCCTGTAGGAAACTTTTTCAAGTCTGCCTATTCTATTCTAGTAAAGCATACTGGCATCTATTCTCTCCTTTTTCCTCGTTGTAGACATCTTCCTACGCAGCGGAAAATTGATCATCAACGCAGTGAATCGAGATATGACTGGATGGTACTTTTGTGAGGCTCATAACTCCGTCAAACCCTCAGCAATCGAGCACACTCTTCTAACCGTCCATTGTAAGAGGCAATATTAACCTACCAACTCCCCTCACTCCTCATCAACATCATTATCAGTAGATCATGCATTTAAGTAGTATGCTGAGATCTCAAATTTGTCTCCCTTTATGCAATCAGAGAGGTAAGATAAACATGCAGCCCCCCACAAACACCCACACGCATATTACTTTAGATGCCCCTCGGGTATTTCTGCCCCAAAGAGAAGTCTTTTTCGCACCCTTCGGAAATGTTAGTCTGGTGTGTGAATTCCAGGCCTTCCCATTAACCGAAGTAGAATGGCTTTTGGATGGTCGAAGACTTGACATTGCAGGGTGTGAGAGAAGAGGACCTCGAACAACCACATGGTGTACCGGTAGGTTTTTTTGCTTTAGGTCATTGCATACTTACACCGATACCTTCTAACCACAGTAAAGACGGTGGAAGGATTGTTGTATCAACTGGAAGGTCAATCAAAGCACGGATTTGGTGATTCCCTCACCTACCTTGATACTCCTACTGCAACAAGGAAGGATGCGCCTAAGAAGTTGAGAGAACGATTTCGAAGCATAAATTTGACCCAATCAAGTAATGATCTCACTCTTTATGGTCGACGGGTGAGATCAGTGCTGCATGTCTGGGTGTCAGAGGCCAAGCACTTTGGTCGCTATAGTTGTCGAATGCAAACTCGTCACGGCTTGGCGGAGGGATTCATCCGACTACGAAATAAAGGCAAGTACTTCCCATTTCTCAATCTCTCTTAAAGCTGTTTGAGAAGACCTTACAAATGCTTCTCCTCAAGGTGGATTCCACCTCGAGCCGTTCAGTTACGAGGGCAAACGAGTCAAACAAAAGGAGGCGGTGCCATCGGCAGTTGTAGCACCGCGATTTGTGCCTCCAGCAAATGTGATGGCTCCATTCATTTTACCAAAAACCACAAGCTTTGCTGAAGGAAGGGGAACGTCTTGCCTTCTACTCCCTATCACAGCTCACCTTCTTGTATATTTACTAGGCTGTTAACAGTGATGCCGCCTTCTCTGTATATTCTGTAAACAAATAAACCATTTTCGCTCTACAATGTTGTCACAATTCGACATTCGAAGGCGTTCAAGACAATTGAAGGCAGGTGGAGATGGATGGTGAGTATCTACACCACCCTCCAATGAAATCCCTTTAACTACTAAAAGGAACTAACAACTCTCACTGAACTGCTGACCTTTGGGGCACAGAAAACGCAACATGTTGTTTTGTCACTAAAACAAAAAAAGAAAAATCGTCTGTAATCCAATTCTTAATACTAAAGGGTTAGCATTTTCGCTATTTTAAAGTTGTTCTCCTCTGTGTGTCGCCTAATTGATGTGACTATTGTCCGTTAAGTGTTGGAAGGGCAAAATTTCTGCCACCTACTGTATCAATGGTCAACTTGACGTCCCATTTAGCCGACCGAGATTTCGATCTCTCCTCTCTCTCTCTCTCTCTCTCCTTCCCTTGGACTGTCCCTCTCCAAGCCTTCCCTTCCCACCGCCGCCTTCTCACCCCCCTCTCCAAAATCTCTCCATGTGAGGGAGCAGGGGATCCCTCCTGACCCACTTACAGGCATCGTTCAAGGTAAACAATGCCACAAGTAACAGAGGCTCAGTCTATTGCCTACATTCCCTCTTTCCCCACCCAAGTAGACCCAGTGGAAGAGCGCGTGACTGGACCAAAAGCAAATTGTTCCTTTTATGGCCCCAAAATGTACCCATCTTTGTGGAGAAGACAATGCGATTAGTGAAGCCTTTCAAAGGCTCAAACTATGTCCATTTTGGTGGATGTATTATAAAAACCGGCTACGCCTGTAATTTAACTGCCTTGGACGATTGTCAAAGGGCATTCAATGCCTTTAGCTATTCGTTTCACTGTATCGGCAACAGAGGTCATCTAACTTTTGAAAATGGGAAAGGCTGAAAGTGTTGTTTACCTTAGTTGCTACACCTTCAGAGGAGGTAGATGGTCTGAAGGGGCACTTTAAGTGATTAATGACACTAATAAGTCTCCAGGAGCCATATGGAAAGCAAATAGGCTTTAAAAAGTTACTTTTGGTTGACCTTTAGTCATTTTGGTCTATGGTCTGACTTGAAGGGCGAGCCCGTTTGAAGGTGCCGGTGAGGTGGAAGAGGAAAGAGGGGTGGTCACCAGCCTACTCCTTTATTACACATTGTCAAAGGTGGACACAGAGGCAGGAGAAGAGTTGAAACTAACATAATTTTAACCCTCAAAAACCTTCGTGTTAGGGACAAACATTATTTTGCCGCCTTGTCCAAAATTTTGTTGCAGATTCTTCTATTTTATAATAACATATGACGACTCAACAGGCCTCCTTAGACCACTTGTAGGCTCGGTTGCGTCTCTGATCCTCGTCTAATTGTTAAAGGTCCAGTTAAGAGCACTTTCTCGAGGAGGGGTGCTGATCTGCACTATATGTCATGCACTAGACGGAGACAACAGTCAGACTAATTGCCAGCCATTTCCACTGAAGCTCTCTAACGCCATTAATCAAAACAATTGCAGGAACCAAAGTAATGTCAACATCATAGCGTCTAGAGCCGAGATGACTTTTTTTACAGCGTTTGCATGGGAATTGTGGACACTATTCTACCAACAGCGGATTGGCGAATCGACCGATCAGCCAATTTGGGGGTCGAACTTCTCCTCCTCCTCCTCCTCCTCCTCCTCCTCCTCTTTGCCGTTCTTGGCCTTATCTTTCCTTTCCGCGTGGTTCAAAGGAATGTCACAGCTTCAGTATTTCAATCATTACACATTTTGCTACAGTCACAACGGCTTCTCAAAAAATGACTATTTCATCTCACATACTACTGAATTATTTGGGCAGCGATATCAGTAGAATGAGTAAAAGCAACAACTTAAATGAGGTTTACAGAACCGCTTCCTTCATAAGCCTTCAACACAAAATCACACCTATTTACGGATTGTTAAGTACTGCAGCTACTCATTGTGCGTTTAAGGCTGAGAACAAAGGAAAAGTTACACAAGGACGACACCAAGATGGCTCAATTTGTGAAGGCCCCGCAGGTACCCGTTGATTTGTCCGTTTACAGACCTTTCCCAATGATACGGTAATTTTATTAATTTTTCCAAAAGCACGTCATCAAATTAGACAGGCGCACTGAAACATCTACTGATTAGGCAACCGTTGAATAGCCCAGAAGACTCTATTTGCTCCGAAAAGGGAGCAAATTAAGGCGAAAGCAGTTTTAAAAAAACGGAAAAAATGTTAACAGCCAACTTTATTAAACAAAACAGACAACTAGCTGAAGATAAAACATGTAGACAGGGAAAATATGCGAGAGAGAAACTATGGCGGTTACAGCTTTTCTGACATTCCTTGCAAAGGAAAATTACACCTTCTAAGGCATTAACAAAAGAGAAATCGCCTTTCGACCTCTTAAGGCGGCAGGTGGGGACTCAAGATGAAGCCTCAGTGTAGCATCCCGAGACTTCCTAGCCACTGTAAGTGCAGCTGGATGGAAGTATTTCGGAGACGACTGGGCAAATGGGGCCTGGGGCCCACGTGTACAGGGGCCAGACAAATACCAAAGTGACCGCCACACGTCAAGCAGTCACATAAACAAAGCAGTACACGCCATATCTTCTCTCTGTGTCCTTTACTGAACGGGTTGTACTGACACCTGTCACTGCTCCTTGGTAGCGCTGCTTCGCCCCTCTCATGGCTGATCGTGGGCCTCCAATTTTCCCATTCCTCACTTTTGTACACATCATTGCCCATTCACTTTGATTCACCTTTTTAATTACTCAGATGTCCTTTTTTGTCCTGCTGTAGTGAATTACAAGTTTAATCCTGAGTCGAGTATACTTACAGCCTCTAATTACTGTTTGAAGCAACACATTCTCGATCCCCTCAATTATCTCACCCCTGTAAATACTTACCCCAAAAGGCGAAGACTCTTTTTAATCCCATCAACACCTCTTTTTTCGGCCTTTTAAACCCTAAAACTGCCCCCTTTTTGTGCTCCAGGGATGGAGAAGGGCCTCCAAAAGTGCCTTTAGTTGGACGAGTGTAGTAAAAAACCAAATTTTGAGGGGTCAAAAAAAAGTTGCCTCTGTGATGGGAGGGCGGGTGAAGTTAAAATAAAAATTACTTTTATTGCTATAAATTTTTACTCCCACCATGCAGTCGCTCATCACTGAGGTTTGCTAGATGTTATCGTCCCTGCAAATTGGTCGTATCAATCAACATTTTCAGAAATTTCGGTTAGTTATAAGGCGGAGTCATTAAACAAAATTATTTTTTTTTGTTCAAATTTAGATGGCAAATTTTTATTTTTATGTTTATCATTTTTTTGTTAAATTAAAACAAGTTTTAAAGGAGTTAATCTTTTGTGTAAAATTAGGACAAGAGTTTGTGCTATGCGTTGAGGCCGCCGCAAGTGGTCCTCCATCAGACGATCGCGTCTCTCTTCGGGCAGTTTGATGATCCGCCAGTTTATCCCTGTCCAACTGTGGCCCCTCACCAGGATTCCATCACCATTTCTGACAAGGAGGAGGAGGGGGCGGAGGGAGAGGGGAACGGGGAGGTGTAGAGCAAAAAATCCAAGAAAGAAAGAACGAGCCAATAAGGCTATTCAAATTTGAGGGGTAAAGTGAAAGCACGACAGCCTTTCTCCGATCCTATCTCTACAACCTATTGGCACAAAACAATCTAACCCAGCATTTAGCCCTAGAAACGGTTTGGGGGGTTGGGGGAGAGGAGGGAAGGAGGGCAGCGGTGGGGGACGGAGGATGGCGAGGGAAGAGGAGAGGGGGGAGAAAAAAAAAAGTGGGAGCGGAGGGAGGCACATTTCCATCCAGACTCAATTCAGCCTTGGATGTTATCGCATTTGAGGCCTTTTAAAAATGCAAATCACTAAATAAAAAAGGTCGCCATCAGCCTTGCCAACGGTTGGGGTGGGAGGTGGTTGGGTAAACACTGCCATCGGCAATGACTTTAGTCAATGCATGGATAAGGGATTTTAAAGACCGATTTTACCTTCTGATTTTATCAAAAATACACAAAAAAAAGCGGTTGTTAGTGGAGTGTTTTGAGACGAGTGACTGGAGGCTAGCAGTCATTCCACTCTCGGTAATGAGACAGGAAGAGTGAAGCAAAAAACAAAGGGAGGCAATAAGACACCCTCATAGTGATGTTGGGTTGAATGCGATCAGTGTCGACGACAGTGCTTTCAAGGCACACCTAACCGAGGCAATCTCCACTGACTCCGCCCATTCCTGAGGACGGAGATAAACACCTCAAGTCCATTGTCTGATTACGTTTACTCTTGGAGTGTTTTTCTTTTGAAAGAAAAAGAAGGAAAGAACGGAGAAGAAGAAGAAGGAGGAGGAGGAGGAGGAGGAGTAAAATCAGAGGCCTGGATATCAGATAAGAGTGAATAAAAAAATGCGATGTGGAGGAGGTCATTTAAAATGAGGGACTGTAATTTGTGTCGTCCCCCCCCTCCCCCCCCCACAAATCGGCAGCCTCTTCCTCCTTCACCTGGACAGAGGGTGAAGGCATCTTTTAGAGCAAAAAATAGCCGCATTGTTGCATTAATAAATGTCTCAAAGTGGCAAGCACAAATGAAAACAACAGTTGCTACTACATTTGATTAATTTTCTTCTTTGTTTTTTTGGGTGTGTTCTGTTTTTGGATTATTGGTTTGCGTAATGTGAATTTGTAGTAAGTCATCTTTCCGTTTAGTGATTTCCGAGGAGCGAATTTGAGGTGGGTGGAGGAGACGTTGATGAAGTTTGAAACGTTTTGAACCTGCAGCTGCTGACAAGGCCTGAAGGTGTGGGTCGAGTGAAGGAGAAGAAGAAGAAAAAGAAGATACTTAGGGGCAATTTGATGCAACCTTAGGTTGTCAGTGAGGCTATTTTATTTCAAACAAATCGTCATTTCGTTGCACGACCTAAAGAAGGCCTCGAAGGTGATTGTATGTCTTGCGATTCACAGGTGCGATCCGAGAGTCAGTCACACTACCAATAGAACGGAAAAACAAACAAACTATTAGTGAATTTCTCCTTTTAGTAGTGTAATGCTTTGTTTATGTGACTATCTGACGTTTGGCGGTCACTTTAGGACTTGTCTGGG